TGGGGTAAATGGGATCAAAAATATTGTGGGGAAGAGGCAATCAGAATCATGTAGCAGATCTGAATAAAACTTGAAAAGCACAATGCCCAGTACCAAACATATCAATTACAGTACTGACAAAAAGAGGTTAGATATCCCTGTATAGCAGGGGTGGCCAGCCCCTTACAGACAAAGAGCCTAAGTGGTGGATATAGCACAAAAAGCCGAGGGGAAAAAGTTGTTGAGCACAACAACAACAAAGCAGCAGCCCGCCTGCCATTTGGTCGAGCAAAAAAAAAAAAAAAAAAAAAAAAAAAGGAGAAAGAGAAGAGGGGAGGGGGCAGACACATCCCTTTTGAGAGCATTGCCCTTTTAATGCAGCCATTTTGACGTTTGCACCAGCATCCCATGCAGACAGAAACACACTGTCCCTTTCTGAGTCACGGGTGTGGGATCCACATGCAGCTCCCAAGCCGCAGGTTGGCCACCCCTGCTCTATAGCCACGTTGGGGAGACAAGATGAACCTATTTACATAGGATTCTACATAATATACCACCAGAAAACAAAAATGTGGGGACAAGATGCAGAGAAGAGTGATCAGGAAATTGTAAAAAACCCTGGCTATTCTAGAACACACACACACACACACACACACACACACACACACACACACACACACACACAGTAATTAACTTGACAGAATTAGTCCATTCTTACTTATTCATAGGGAAGATAACTTTTAGTATCTTGGGCACGGGGTTTAACTTTTGAGGCACAAGATTCTCCAACAATGCAGTTTTAAAATTCCAGTTGATGGCCCTAAACCTTCTTCATTTAGAGCTGGCATTGTTAAAATACCATCATTTCTCATCGCATTAGAGTTCGTAAGCATCCAACTATATATCTCCTCATCTTTCTTGATTACTTTTTCATTTAACAATTTGATAAATGTGAAGTGAAGGTACCAAAACTCAATCCATTACATTTTCAGAGTTATTTGCAAGCATTTAACTCATACTCTGTTAACATCAATAAAAATAAGTATATCCAGCATGTAAAAAACATAAGGTTGCAGTAGGGCTCCAGGTAGTTCCAGAGAAAAAAAAATCAAGAGATGAATTATTCAGTAGGTTTTCTTTCTGATTTCCACTGACATTGCATTAGAAAAAGATGCAGCAATATTAGGGTTGTTATTCAAGAGAATTAACTCTTGTGTACAAAGAGGCATTTTCTTTCCCTTGAAACTTCCTAAGAAAAGCTGTCAACTTGCCTTTCATTTATCTGAACTCTGAACTAACATTGAGCAAAATGCACGTTATTATTGAAAATCAGAAAAATCTCAAGTGGGAGCTATGAAGGATGCCACACACTGGACTTAAAGGAGTTAACCAAGCAACCGCCAATGAGGGCCCAGAAGGCCCATACAAGAAGAGTCGCAGGGCAGGGCAAGTTCCTTCCAGGAACTCAAAGAGGGAGATCTGGGTGCCTTGCAAGTGGATAGAAGCTACCTTCCTGGACTAAGCAGTGCTAGGCAGAAACACTGTTGACTGTTTGCTAGGACTGGCATATTAAGGATCTGAGGTAAGGGTGAAGAAGGTGCTGGGACCATGGGAATTAGCCCAAGGAAATGTACTGAAGAGTTAGAGGAGACAGCACATGGCTACCATTTACTGTGTCCCTGGGCTGAGGCCAAGAGTAGTGAGCAGGTCCGGGTTCCCTCCACTTACCTCTGGGGAAATGTCTGAACCATTGACTGAAGTCGCCACTGAGGAAGTGGCTAGATAGTTGATTGAAAGGGAGAAGCACAGATTAGAACACTGCCAGAGGGCTGTGTCATGAAGATGACTCCACAGTCCTTGCAGTGACAAGGGCCAGGGAGCAGATGTGATGGGACAAGGCAAGATCAAGAGAGTGCATACCAACCTGCTAAACTAATCCCCCAGATGGCCAGCAAGAGGCACCAGTTGATGAACAGATCGACATTATTTGGTCAATATTGACTTTCAGTCTACCACATTCCTCCATGCTCACCTTAATTTTCTTTGAAATAAGATCCCTCATTAATCTATTTAAAAGTAACCAGTGGAAACTGACCGCAGGATATGACATAAAACAGAATGAGAATTTCTCCTCAGTGGAATGCATCACAAACATTACTGAAAAAAGGGAAAAAAGACATCAGGAAAGATTGATGATTGACTCAGCCTGCAGGAGAGTGGAGGAGATCTGGAATATTTTACACTAATTACAATTTACCTGTTGATGCTAGCAAGATATCTCCATTGAAGTGACAACTGACAGAGCTTGGAAGAAATATATTCAGAGAACTCTTCATTAGACTCTCAGAGCCCTATGAACACATCCTGCACCCACCTTTATTTCTCTTTTTGGTGAAGCTTTGCACTAAAATGACTAGAAACTCCAGAAATTGTAACTGTATCTAGCTATAAGTCCATTCAAAATTCACAACACATGCACTAAAAGATGTGCACACGTTTCCAAGCAGTACATAAAAATTCCTAGAGGTTATTTCACTGTGGTTTTTCAGTACTTTACTCAGCGGGACCCTACCCCTTGTCAGGGCAAAGCTCTAGGTGCAAGCACAATACAAAATTACTATTGTCTGTGGTCTCCCTTAGAAGCCAGAAATGTAGAACTGGAAAGGCCTCAATAGGCCATCTAATCCAGTCCCTTGCACTGAGGCAGGGATGAAGCAGATGATCCCCGACAGGTGATGGTCTAACCTTAAAAGTCTCCAATGACAGTTATTACTCCCTATGTAATTTGTTCCAGTGCCTAACTATCCTTTTAGTTGGGACATTTTTCCTAACGTCTAACATAATTCTCCCTTGCTATAATCTAAGCACTTGCTTTTTGTCCTATTCTAAGCTGTTAAGGAGAACAGTTGATCACCCTCCTCTTTATAACAGCCTTTTATATACTTAAACTATTATCAGATTCCCCACTCATTCTCTTCCAGATTAAACAAACCCAATTTTTTCAATCTTTCTTTGTAGGTCATTTTTCTACACCTTTAATCATTTTTGTTGCTCGCTCCTGGACTTTCTCTAGTTTGCCCACATCTTTCCCAAACCATGGTGCCCAGAACAGGACACAGTATTCCAGTGGAGGCTTTATCAGTGCTGCATACATTGGAACGGTTTATTTCCAATGTCTTGCTTACAACACTCCTGCTAACACACCCCAGAATGGGTAGGTCATTTTTCTACACCTTTAATCATTTTTGTTGCTCGCTCCTGGACTTTCTCTAGTTTGCCCACATCTTTCCCAAACCATGGTGCCCAGAACAGGACACAGTATTCCAGTGGAGGCTTTATCAGTGCTGCATACATTGGAACGGTTTATTTCCAATGTCTTGCTTACAACACTCCTGCTAACACACCCCAGAATGGGGGCGGGGAGTTTGGCAACACCATAATATTTAATCATAGTCATTCTGTAATCCAGGGGTCAGTCCTGGGGTTGGTTTTATTCAGCATCTTCATTCATTATCTGGATGGTTGGCAGGGCCGGCCCACCACATTTTGGCACCTGAGGCGGGGAGCTCAAATGATGCCTCCATGCCTCCTCGCTTGGGCCTAAACTTTGAAAGGTCTCAATTCTGCCTTCTTCCTGTTCTTTGTGCCCTCCTTCCTTCAGCACAGCACTCCACCATCTCTGTGCATGTAGAGCAGAGAGAATACAAATGCACCAGCAGCAGAAACAATTTTCTACACTCTAGGTCCTCGTGGCACCCTTCCCCCCCACCCCCCGCCACAGTCTGACACCTGAGGCGGATGCCTCAGTTCACCTCATGGTAAGGCCAGCCCTGATGTTTGGATGGATTACACCCTCAGCAAGTTTTCAGATCACACGAAGCTGGGGGTGAGAAGACAGAGGTAGAGATGCTACAGGGTAGGGATAGGGTCTAGAGTGACATAGGCAACTTGGAAGATTGGGCCAAAATAAATCTCATGAGGTTCAACAAAGACAAGTGCAGAGTTCTGCACTTAGGATGGAGGAATTCCAAGCACTGCTACAGGCTGGGGACCGACTGGCTAAGCAGCAGTTCTGAAGAAAAGAACCTGGGGATTACAGTGGATGAGAAGCGAGACAGGACTCAGTGGGCCCTTGTTGCCCAGGACACTAACGGCATATTGGGGTCCATCACTAGGAGCATGCCAGCAGATCGATGGAAGTAATTATTCCCCTCTACCTGGCTCTGGTGAGGTTCTCTCTGAAGTACTGCGTCCAATTCTGGTCCTGTATTACGGAAAGGATGTGGACAAATTGGAGAGAGTCTTGCAGAGAGCAACAAAAATGATTAGGGGTTGGGGCACATAATTTATGAGGCGAGGCTGAATCACTGTTGCCCTGTAATATACTGTGGAGAGGTGAACTTTTATTTGCTTTAAAAAGCATTCAAATACAGCAGCAGAGCCTGTTCATTCTCCAGTCTCCCATCCCCCGCCCCCCTACCTTTATGAAAGTATCTCCGAAGAGTCTGTTCACATAAGTATCCTTGTACTGGAGGCATGATTCACTCATGGTGGCATTATTTTTAGAAGATCGTGTAATTACATTAAACATTACAGATTAGAGGCAAGAATGAGTTTCTCCTGACACCACCCTCTTCTGAAAACTGAAGACTTAACCCTGTGCCATTACACATGAGAAAAACTAGGACCTACAAACTCTGAAGCCTCCTTTTCATCAGTAAGAGCCTGTTGTGTGCCTCTCAAAGAACACTGACTGTTTCTTTCAGAATAGCTTCAGACAGAGGCTGTGGTGATTCAGGGAGGATTGTAACTTGTCAATGTGCATCTGCCATCCAAAGTAACAAAGGGCTCTCTAGGGCCCTTTCTAAAGTAGTAACGGGTTCCCAGAAACCAGAACTCAGCCGCAATCCTCACAACAAATAAGCATCAACCAAGTTGCTTTCAAAACAACTAAAACACATGGCAAACTTTTGAGGCTCCTGGACACAGGAGAAGCTTAGGAAAGACTATGGCATACTTACTGCTCGAGCTGGAGATCTCTTTTGGACTGGTGGACATTGGCTGAGCACACATTTGGCAGAGACAATCCCTTCCATTAAAGGTAACCCGGTCTCCTGGTGGAAACGGGCGTCTGGAGAGTGAAAGAGACAAGTAAGTGTCATTCAAGGTTAATCTAGCAATTTCATTCTCTTTCCCGTCTCCAGAGCCTGCCGCCTTCTTCTGATGCAAATCAGTATCTTACAGAAACTCAGGCCAAACTACGTCTGAAATGCAGCCATAGCAAAGTCAGCTGTGAGGAGAACAGAGGTCAGACTGGCTGGTATGTTGGTTCCCTAAAGATATCAGCTGCACAGTATCTAAAGAGAAGGACACAGCAGAGTTCACTTAGACTCAACGGCTACAGCACCAATTGCCTTAGCACGTCACTAACAGCACCCAACAAAAGGGAGCCACAATCCTCCCAAAAGGCAGGCAGAGGGGAAATGGTGATTGGAAGGCTCACAGGCATCTGATGAAATGGGTCTTTGCCCACAAAAGCTTATGCTCCAATAAAACTGTTAGTCTATAAGGTGCCACTATAAGGACTTTTCGTTGCTTATAAAACCAAGTTTTATAAGCAAGTTCGTGGCTGTACTCCAGTTCCTAGAACTTTAAACGGGTACTCGTGTTACAAAGCCACCCCCACTCTGTCAGCAGAGGACAAGGGCCACACCTAAAGGAAGGGTGAGATTTACTGGTAGGGCAGCAGGAGAGATGTCTGCTTTGCTGCTGAATCTTGTTGTACCCGTTCTGTCGATAAATATAAGATTTCTGCCTCTATGGTTGTTAAGCACTTTACACCAGGTCATTACAATTAGGAAACATTCTCAAACTCCAAATCTTCCAAAAGGGGCACTGTGTTAATTTCCTGCTACATGCTGCCAGCATCTCAACCCACCCAGACATGTATATTAGCAGAAGTGTCCTTAATAAATCAGCATCAGTTTCTTTCTGCAAAACAAATAGTGAAACATCATGGGTGACCAGTCTTTTATTTGCTCCTTTCAAGTTAACATGCTACATGTTTTACAGGCCATCATTTACTTTTACTGCATTTAGGAAATGCTCCAACAACATACACGGAATATGAATTCTTCAGTGCAGTGTCAGTCTACGGGCATTGTTCTTTTTAAAAATGATGACCAGTACACTTAGATCAGGACTTGAAAATTGGACAGACTCTACTTGTGATTGGACTAATTTTAATAGCCCCAGGCATCTACGAAAGATGAGGGTGGTAATTCAAGAAGTCCTGCTCCCTTGCCATCCTCCTGATAGAGAAGCAGGGTCCTCACTTAAACACTGCTTCATGGCTCCCTCTTTCATATCAACTTCTAGGGATCAGAGAAATTTAACTTTCTTATCATCCTTGCCTCTAGCTGGTGGAAGGGGGGAGGTTTCTCCCCACTGCAGAGCTTTCTGGCTGCTGGAGAACGTCCCGACCCTACACCTTAACAGGGCTATTGACTGCTACAGGGAGCTGTTCTAATACTGCCCAGACCAGTGTGCCCTCTAAGCTGTGCTCCTGCGTGGCCGCACTGGAAAAATGTTAGGTCCGCCCATGTCATTTTTAGAGCCGTGCAGCAACAGTCACTGCTCACCTTCCTGCTGGTATGGAAGGAGGGCAGTGGCAGTGGCAGCCGGTGGCCTGGCGGGTCCCTGGCCACAAGCAGCTGCCCTTTGCTCCGCCTGGCGCTGAGGCATGTGAGGTGAGGCTGTTCTGGTCAGGCTGCTCCTTGGAACGGGCCTTGTGAGGCTGCCACTTTACTCCAGCTGGAGCTGGGGCCACCTGTGGTGCTATTTTTAGTACTAAGGTCTCACAGGGACTGGTACCCTGGTACTAAAAACAGCACCATAAGCAGCCTCTGCTCCAGTCCCAGCACATGGTCCTGCCCCAGGAGCAGCTGGGGATGGGCTGTGGGGGCTTCTAGGCCAGGACCATGATACTCAAAATAGCACCGCGGCCCTGGCTCCAGCTCCCACAAACTGCTTTCCATGTCAAAGGTAGAAAGTTAGGAAATGGAGCACGGGTAGAACTAAGGGGAAGGTGGGCGAGGAGAGGAAGTGGCTTGTGCTGAGGGGAAAGGAGGGGTCTAGGGCAGGAGAAGAAAGGGGCAGGCACCAAGGGGCAGGGTGGAGGAGAAACAAATGCTAAGGGTGCAAGAGGAGACAATGAGGGGAATGGGCAGGAGGGGGAGGGGAGAGAAAGTGTCAGTGGGGGTGCAAGAAGGGACTGGGTGATGCTGGGAGAGGAAAGGGGAGGGACAATGTGGGCAAGAGGGAGGAATAGGAGAGGAGAGGAGTTGGTGCTGGGAAAAGAGAGGTTGAAAGAGGGATGGGCATGCAGAAGGCAGGGGATGGAATAAGTTGTGTGAGGGCACAGAGGGGTACGAGGAGAACTGGGGCAGAGGGTGGTGACCAGGGAGAAAGAGGGGAAAGATGGCAGGGCAATGAAGGAAAGGGGAGGCACCAAGAGGGGGCAATGAGGGAAAGGGGAGGCACCAAGAGGGGGCAGGGGTAAGGGAAGGTGCAGGAGCCAGGGATATTGTGGGGGTGAAGCAGAAGGGCAGACATGTGGAGGGGAGGGACGGGCACCAGAGGAGAGAGGCAAGGCAGGCAGGTAGAGGGAGGTGTTAGGAGAGGGGATGGGAAGGGGTAGCCACAGATTATCAGAGTGGGGCTAGAGGAGGAGTGGGCATAGGGGGAAGAGAAGTGCTGGTGTAGGGTTCAAGAAGGATGGGAAGGGGGACAGGTCCCCAAAGGGCTAAGGGGAGTGAGAAGGGCAGGAGCCAGGACAGTAGAGGAGGCTGAGGGGTAGGGGAAAGCAGTAAGTACCAGGGGAGCAGATGGGGCAAGGGGACGCTGGGAGACATGGCAGAAGGAAAAGGGAGAGGTTTATAAGATATTTATTAAGAACTTGGGTGCCACAATGGCACACATTTGAACAAGCCACATGAACTCAATACTGGTGCACAAGACAAAACTCACTCCGCTCATGGTGGAAAATCTTAGAGGGAGCACTGGCCCAGACCCTATCCCTTTGGTTCCTCCTCACCCGTGAAATCTTTTGCCTGCCTCTGCTGCTGCTCATAGCACAAGATGGGATGGTATCATTACTGTAAGCATGCTTCTAGGAGCAGAACTGAAACTGACTATGGTCTTGTTAATTTCAGTCTGTGTCTGCTGATAAAACCATAAGAAGTGGCAGAGGCACCTCTGCTGTCTGCAGACTCAACAAGGCACCACTGCATAAGTTTACTTTCAGCTCATTTTGGAAGATTATTCTCACAACCATAAAGCCTAGAAGATTCATTTCTTTTGTTTTTTAATGAAAGTTTAGACTTGTCAGAAATGGATGGCTCAGGGTCATTCCCCACGTCCACCCGAAACACCCAAATTATGTGGATCAAAGTATTTCTTTTTGATTCACATCTGGATCTCTGCTTGGGCTGAAATGACCAGCAGTAAGTCACATCTCTGCTGGATGTGCTCAAGAAATGGCTTACATGCCTATGTACAGAAGTTGCCCAAGAACCTCCAATAGTCTGGGATAATATCCTAATCAGAGTTAAGGCAATAAAAAAAATGCATCTTTTTCAGCTCTCCACATCTATTGGCTATTAGTGACTGCCTTCTGGCTCCACATTCAGCAGACATGCAATAGACAAAGGGGCCAAAATGGTTTTATTCAATTTCTCTTGGTAAGTGGCACAACAAAATGAAAGAATGGAAATATAGTGGAAATAGCATCTTCCAAAACAGCAATATAGATTATGGAAAATAGCAAATTATTACATTATATTATTGTGCTATCACTGAGAGGCATCAAACAAGGACCATTGGGCCAGGTACTGGAAACGTAACAGAAGACACTTTGTACCCAAAGGAACTTTCCAATTAAGTTTAAGATAAGGTAACAGGTGGATACAACAGATAGGAGAGCACAGAGTAAGAGTGGGACAATTCTCATTAGTACATAAAGTATCATGCATAATACACCATCTGGCAAGCCACTGAAATGTAAGAACATTTTCTAAGTCACACCAAGCGCAACCAGTAAATAGACTACTACTTAGGTGTTGTAGATGTTAGTACTTCACTATGGGAACTGACTTCTGATTGAAGTGTCTAATCGTTACCACTATGCCAATAGTTATAATATTTTATTCTCCATGCCATATATTACTATTTCTGAAACTGCTACTCCCATTACATTGGAGATCGTTTCCTTCTTTCATTAGGGCCTGCCTGTGACTACAATAAACTCAATAAAATCACTTTGGTCTTTGCATATTTGATGTGCAATATCACCAAGTCGTCCAACCAACCCCACCCCCCTTCCCCCTGAAAGTTTCTTACTCACTTCTTCTGGATTTTGTTTAGGATTTAGCGAAAAAAAAAATGAAATATGGATGCTTTAAGTTTCCAAGCCATATTATTGCAATCACAGGAAGAGTGTTTCTTTGACTGAAACAGATGACAACATTAGTTGACCAGCTGCCTGACTGAAAAAGAGCATTACACTATGTCAGAGTGTATGTGTTGGGAGCAACTGCAGACCAGCTGAAGCAGTATTTCCAGTCCCCAGCAAGCAGATTAAGACCAAATCCTGAGAACATTTAAGCACAAGTAATTTGACCCATGAAAGTGTTCATAGATGGATGTGAATAACTTGTCTGCTTGTGCTTTATTGAGCATCACTCTTAGAGCCCCTCCTAGTGGCCAGAGGAAGGGTAGCAGGCATGAAGGGGAAGAGGGACAGACACTGAAACAGGACTGGGAGCCTGGTGCCCCGATCAAGAAGAGGTCTTTTGTAGCTGCCTTAACCACCAGAGCTCATAGAAAGGACAGGGTGTACTAAGTTGGGACAAAGTAAGTACCTAACTCTGCTGCCCCTAGGCCCTTAAAAGATTCTGGCTCTGAGTTCAGCCAAATGTGAACTCCAGTATCAAAATGTTCTTGATAATCTCTTCCACAAAAATCCTGATATTAAATTCCTTCATGTGTGACAGCAGCAGTGTTGCGAGAGTACAGGGCATTATTCCTAGCAGCAAAGCTTTGCTGGTGGATGCTTTTCAGAAAAGCTAATGGGCATTGTGAACTGCCTAAAGTTCAGGCCACAATCAAACATTCCCAGTCAAGCACCTTTTAATAGAAAATGTGTCTGTCAGACTGCATGCTGTGACAGCACAGTTCCCCCTGTGCTCCTTCTAATGGGGTTAATGTCACAGAAAGGGCTCACTCACTTGCAAACAGTGCAGGCAAAGCAGTTCGGATGGTAGGTTTTTCCCAAAGCTGTCACTACTTCTCCTTCCACGAATTCCCCACAGCTATTGCAGCGGGTTCCATACATGCGCTGGTAATCCACAGTGCAGAGGTAGTCCCCATTCTTAATGAAAAAACCACCTTGGGCCAGGTCACAGCCACACACTGGAAAAACAAAACAAGCACAAATCAATTACAAGTCAAATCTGTCTGTCAGGTTGGAAAATAGAGAGCTGTACAAATAGCATCCTGTCCTTCCCCTGTAGTGTTTTAGGAGATCTGGGCATAGTTTCACATGAGATTAAATTGGTAGTTTTGGTCCCTCTAACAGAGGGTCTCCCACCCGGCATATGACATGGTATGCTGGTAAATGACTGGCATTTTCTGGCTACAAGAGGTTGTTCACTGGTTTAGCTGCCTACAGAAGCCTGTACAGCAGCAGCTAGCATGTGTGGCCCTAGCCACTGTCAAGAGCTGGTCAGTAGCATACACATTACCAGAGCTGCAAAGAAAAATAGTTGAGAAAAATAATATTTGAGAGACTAGATCGTTCACTGCTAAATGGGTAGAAGACAATACTGGCTGCAAAGGAATTGGCTTCATATTCATCAATTTAAACACATACCCATACAAAACACTCTGCAAGTGTAGGCCCCGCTGGAAAACTATCATATTTAGTCTGCCTGTCTGATCTGATTTTAAGAAATTATAGATTCTGTACAGAACGCACTGCCAAGGGAACATGTCCTTGAGAGCCACTGACACACACCAGCACCGAGGTATATAGGATTTAGAGTTACCATTTTTATTTATTAAAGATGACAGATCCTTTGAGTGAAACTGCTCCTAGTGGAATTCTAGTGAACGCACACAATATCCTTCCAAACATCTAGAGACTGCCCTATACACAGTTTTAACTGAAATGCCCCTTTTGCTTCCCACTTCAGATGACATGCTTGGGGCAGGGTTTTGGTTTTGTTGTAGCTGCATTAGGAGGCAGTTGCGGAAGGAGAAGACATTGACCCTCATCGGGTACGTTTAGGGTTAAATTTGTTCCCGGTCATCAGCAATGTATGTCTTTACTGGGAAGTGGCTGCTTTCACAGCTGATCCATGAATGCAGGCCTCACGGGCAGGAGACTGCATGGAAATACAAGGGATGGAAAAAGTTGGATGAATCCTACTACTAGACTGGAGGTCTTTGTCCATGTGCAAGTCCAAGACATCTTGTCAAAGGGGCATCATAAGACACCAAGGCCACCACACTGAGAACAGTAAAACTCTAGAAGAAAAACAGTAAATTTGACCAAGATGTTTGGCCAAGGGTTAAGTGCAATCTGAGTCATGGCACTCTAGGACCTGTGCTTTCCACCTCCAGCAGGGCCACTGCAGACTCCAATAGGCAGCGCAGCTGCAGAGCAGGGACAGTGCGTGGAACAGCATAACCCTATCAAAGGGTGCCACAGTCCCCATTCTGGAAGGTACTTCCCAGCGCTCCTGGGACCTGCTGCTCCTGCAGATTACCCCTACCCCACTGCAAGGTCTGTGGTTTGGACATGGGGCTGGAGCCTGAATTCCTATAACACACCCACCCACCCACCGGTCTCCAATTTCACTGAAATGTCAACATCCAGAACACAACCCCTCATCTGGATTCCTGACACCAATACCGTAAAATCCTGATATTTACTTGGACAGCTAAAGCTGATATCTGATTACATGCCCCAAGAAGGTGGCAGCATAAAGAACATAAAATCCTCCCATCTCTCTCTTTTTAAATGTAGCTCTGAAGCTGCAGTAGAGCGTTAAGTGTCCTGAAGCACAAAGAGAGTCCGGGAAATGGAGAAAGGGAGCAACCACGGTACAGGTTGAACCACTCTAATCCAGCACCCTCGGGACCAGACCGATGCTGAACCAGAGAATTTGCTGAACCACAGGAGGTCAATATTGTCTAGCAGCATTACCAACCCTCCCACTGCTTCCTGGGCTCTCAGAAGACATTTAGGGGTCAACTGGAACTAAATAACAGTACAGAACACTGGGAGCCAGGACTGGTGGCTGTAAACAAACTTGATAGGACACTGGGAAATCTGACCACCCCCATGATAAGTGGATATCCGGCTAACTACAATCATGCAGGACCACAGATGTTGCCGGACCAGCGAGTTCAACCTGTAGGTCAAATTTAGAACCTCTTACCCTTGACAGTGCACCTTTAATCATACTCATCAGTCACATGCTATTCACCATAGGGGTGGGAGTTATGGGTTTCAGTTTCTCAAAGATACAAGGCAGTGACTAGCCCCAACCGGACAGTAAAACCACCTTAGAGACCCACAGCCCAAGCTTCCCATCCTCCTCTCATTCACTCGTCCATGGTGGAGTTGGCCTGTACCAACAGAGTTTCGCATCAATGCATGCAGGAGGAAAAGCGACAGCTCTAAAAAACCAGAACAGATTTTACTGTTTAATGGACTAGCGCAGTCTGGCAGCAATGATTTCTTTGTAAGTGCAGGTCCTGTTTAAGAGACTTTCATGGTTTCTGTCAGAAAGAATGACTCTTAGAAATATTTAGTCTCTGGTTTAGGTTAAGGCCCTCCCCGCCCCAGCAGGTAAGGCTAGGTCACTCTTTGCATACATTTCTTTACACTGCTTAAACACTTAACACTACTTTCCTCTGGGCTTTGAAGCTGTTGGGTGGCTGAATGCGAACCCTTTGGTACAAGAAGATAGTGATGCGGGTGGAATTCCATCACGTCAGACCCATCAACGTGAAGTGGGAGAGATTAGGTGTTCAGAACCCAGGAAGTTCCAATAGGCTGCATCTCAGTTCGCTCAGCTTACTGGAGAGTTACAGTACGGTATGTGAATAAAGAACAGAACACTACAGTTTGCACTGAACAAGGCAACCATGAAAAGAGTACATCCATGCATGCATATGAAGCTGCTGATTTTGCAACCTGGAAATTGTTCTTATATAAGTCTTTTGTACTGGTTGCATGAGTGTGTCACATCACCACCAGACAGCACTTTGATATGAACCAATGGCTGAACATGCAGTTCTCTCTGGCCGAGAGTTTGATTGACAAGGACGTAATTGTATAGATTTTATTGGTAATAGGATACAATTCTTCCATCAATTATAGAGAGAAAGAACACAGAGCTCTTGATTCTAGGTTGTATCAACAGGTGTGTTGTAAGCAAAACTCGTGAAGTCATTCTGCCGCTCTACTCTGCACTAGTTAGGCCTCAGCTGGAGTACTGTGTCCAGTTCTGGGCGCCACATTTCAAGAAAGATGTGGAGAAATTGGAAAGGGTACAGAGAAGAGCGACAAGAATGATTAAAGGTCTAGAGAACATGACCTATGAAGCCAGGCTTCATGAACTGGGCTTGTTTAGTTTGGAAAAAAGAAGATTAAGGGGGGACATGATAGCGGTTTTCAAATATCTAAAAGGGTGTCACAAGGAGGAAGGCGAAAATTTGTTCCTCTTGGTTTCTGAGGACAGGACAAGGAGGAATGGGCTTAAAGTGCAGCAGGGGAGGTTTAGATTGGACATTAGGAAAAAATTCCTAACTGTCAGGGTGGTCAAATATTGGAATAAATTGCCAAGGGAGGTGGTGGAATCTCCCTCTCTGGAGATATTTAAGAACAGGTTAGATAGACATCTGTCAGGGATGGTGTAGACGGAGCTTGATCCTGCCTTGAGGGCGGGGGGCTGGACTCGATGACCTCTCGAGGTCCCTTCCAGTCCTATTATTCTATGATTCTATGATTCTCTCTAAAAGATCCAGTGGTAGCTTGAGCATCAACAGCCTCTGGCAGAAGCCCCACTGAATTTTGTTTGTGAATCAACAAGTGCTAATAGTTGAGTGTACTGGTTCTTTCAGTAATATTGCCTATGGGTCTGATTCAAGGTGAGCTTTGTTCTATAGAGGGGAGAACTGGGTCCCAAATATTTGTTTATTTTAGAATATATTCCCCTTCCCACGCCTCTAATTTTAAAGAGAAGGCAGAGCCTCCAGCTTTGAAAGGAATTCTTACTCACCTTTGCGAGGTGACATCATATGAACCATCTGAAGATTCGTATTGAACAGTAAAAAAGGGATCTGGCATTTTGGTTTCACTTCTACTGCATCATCTTGTACAGCTGAGTCAGTGCAATTCAGTAAGATAAGCTGCCCTTGGCATTGTCAGAGGACACCACCATATGCCTTATTGCTCAAGACAGCCCATCAGATATTTTTCAAAACTGATGAATGTATTTAGATCAATTTGCTGAAGTCATGATTACTAAGTGATAATTATATGAGCAGCTTCCAAGGTGCTTTCCACTTAAAATACCACGGAAAAGAGAGAGAAAAGAACCTAGGAGATCTTGCCATTACCTTCCTTTTAGACCTAGGACAACTCACTTATTCTCTATTTGCCTCCGTCCTTTGTCTGTTACATTAGAGTTGTACTATTTCCTGCATCTGTCTTGAACATTTAGAGCAAACTCTTCGCTCTTGCTCCACAGCGTCTGTACCGTACATAACACAACAGAACCAACATGGGCTAATGTAGCAACAACGAACAACTTGCAACAACCTAAATCAAAATGCCAGATAGAAATGGAGCAGTATTTAAGTGAAGGGAACAACACAGCACTGCCAACTCTTGCAGGTTTCACATTTCTGCAGAGCACAGCATCAATATTTCATGTGTAAACAAATTACATTTCACAGAGGCATTCAAACTACACGCAGCCAAAAAGTCAATTGCCAATGACTTATGAGAATTATAGACACATTGGTAAGGCTTTTATTATACTGCAAAAGGCTCTACACCTGGTTTTCAGGTCTGCCTGCCTCTCGTTTCCTCTTCTCTCCTCTTGTTTCAAACATTTTCTTCAAATGAAAAATACAAAATTATTTAAGCTGATGTCTAGAAAATAATATGGCCTCTGCTCTGCACCTTCACTTGTCTTCTTGCAGGGTGTAAATACTGTGATGGATGCTTAAAACCAGATACTTCTACCATGGTGAGATCAAATGGATCATCAAGGTGTTAGTCACTCACAGCAACAAGTTAACTGTCATTCTGGGTCAGCCCAATGGTCCATTTAGTCCAGTACTAGTCTCCACAATGGCCAACACCAGTGGCTAAGGAAGGAGCAAACCCCTTG